ACACATGTAGACATATCCTATTCTAAGAAAAAAGAAAGATGTTTGACAGCTTCTCTGAAGCATGAACACCTTTTGCATAGGCCTCCCTGCTTGAATTTCTCTACACTGGTCTAAGAATAGCTTGGGTAGACAGACCTGTGTTATTTTGGGTATAAGGAGCAACCCAGTCAGCTTTGGTGCAGGTAAATCAAGCCTGCCTGGGCACTGGGTAAGTACTCAACAGGTGAAACCCAAGGTTCTACAGATACACCTCTCTCAATATCCAAGTCAGCTATTTTGCTGCTTTTATGGAGACATTCAAGGTATTAGAGCTCTGGACTACAGGGCAAACAGTGTTTACATGAAGCAGGAAATCCCTGTTTTGAAAGGCTGGTGAGCCAGGCATGAATAAAGTAACTTCTAACATCACAGCTGACAACACTATACGTGAAAGGATAGAAAACCCCTTTTTATAACAATCAGAATGAAATCCTTTGTCAGGTAGTTACCTTATGTACTGCCTTTTTATCATAACCACCAAGAATCTTCAAACTAGAGGGTGGTGGGGTTGCCTTTTCCTTTCCTACAGTGGACAATTGTTCATTCCCACTTTGATTCCCATTAACAACTTCACCACTGCCTTCCTCCCCCATTTCAGCTCCATCAGCTTTCACTTCTTTTGAAAGATCCATCTTTTTCCTTTTTTGAGCCTGGCTTCTTTTCAAGTTACTTCTTTTTTGTTCTTGTTCACCATTTTCTTCAGGATCTGAAATGTTATTAGGAGAGGAGGGAAAAAATACTACAAATAAGAAAGCACAACAGCCTTTTTTGAAAAACCACCTGCAAACTCATTCTCTTACCAATCAACCACCTTTTAATGGTAGCAGCAAGATAGCTGGACTCTGACCTTATGGGCATGCCTCATCTCTGTAGACCCCCCTGCCACTATGCCCCAATTTTAAACCAAGCTCAGAAGTTCAGAATGTTGCTTTTTCTGTGGGGGAGGAGGTGGAATGTAACTGAAACTTAAACACTCTGCTGAGGACAAGACTGTCAGTGAAGATCCAAGTTACGCAAAGGGAACAGGCAAGTTCATACCTTCCTCTTCTCTTTCAGCAGAGCTGTCCTCTACAAGAAAATTAAATTCTATGCTTTCAGTTTTTACCTGCTTCAGTTTCCTTTGGTGATACAACTGACGTTTTCTTGTTGTTTCTCTTTTTCTTTTTGACTGGAACATGCCCTTGGGCTGCCTCAGCAGTGAGGGTGGAATCAGTCAGTCTTGCAGGCTCATCAGAATCATTGCTGCGTTTGAGGTTTTTCCTTAACTTCTTTGGCCCCTCTGCACAGACATCCTTGTCGCTCTGTTTCCTCTTTTTCTTTTTTGTTTCTCTCTGCGACTGGTTCTCAGAACCTAAGCCAGAGTCTCTGCTTTTAGGCTTTTCAGGGAGTTTGGTCTCAGTTTCCTTTAGCTTGAATTCTCCAGAAGACGAAAGCTCCTCTTGCTGCTGCTTCTTCAGCTGCCGGGCTCTTGCCTGCTCACGCAGCCGTTCCAACAGCGCCTGCGATGAACTCTCCACAGCACCATCCTCCTCACCAGTGTACCTGCAAATTGCACAAGGAAGCCTCTGAAAACCTGTCACAGGTAGCGTTACCATACATCCAGGTTTTCCTAGGTACATCCCTCTTTCTGAGTCCTCCAATCTCTCTCCAGGTGGTTTTTTGAAATCTGAACCAATATCTGGGATTTTGCTCTGCTCCTCTGGTGACAGGAGGAGGGAGCAACTGGAGGCAGGGGGCATCATGTGCATGTGTGCATGTACACACACATGGCTGGCACGCAACCAGGCAGGGGGAGAGAGCAGCTTTGGCAGTTGGATGCAGGTAGGTCTATGGGGGACGGGGGATGGAGAGCCAGGGCCTGAGGAGTGTGTGTCCGTGTGTGTGTGGCAGAAGTGTGTAGAGGAGATGGGTGTGTGAGGTGAGGCAGGTGCCTGATGGCACTGCGGGGGGGGGGGGGTCGCCAGGCTGCCTGGCAGGATGCAGGAGCCCCAGCTCAGGGTTGGGCATGGCACAGGCCTCCTCTCCTCTTCTTTCCTGCTTGTGCTGGGGCCCGACTTGATTTGCCCCTGCCTGCATGAATCGGGGTTGCTGCGCTTGGGCCCAGGGCTGATCTGGCGAGGCTGGGAGCAGAGGAGGCTGTGGGTTGGGAGTATGGGGCACTGGCAAGGCTGAGGGGCTTGTGGGCTGGGAGTGAGGGCAC